AAAAGGGCCTTTCATAAATTCTAATTGCATATTTTTTTAAATAGTTACTATAGATAAATCTATATTTTTGTAATAGTATAACATTTGATTTGAGGTATATGTTTTGGATGAAGTCTCATAGTTTGTAATATTTTTTCATGCTTGCCAATCTTTTTTTCAAGCACTGGATGTTGAATGAGGCCATAGATAAGCCATCATTCATAGATTAGAGGTAGATTATCCAATCTTAGTCTCTTCTCAAAGCAAACTAACAAGGCCAAGAATGTTGCTTTGGTAGGTTCAACCCACTGTGAATTTTTGAATTTTATTATCTAGTTTGTATAGGTTAATAATTGTAGGTATTCTAGTATAGGGGCCTAGAGATTTTGGAATTGAAAGGTAATTTTTTCTATTATATACTATTACTTTGTTCAATTTAGATATATTAGGCATCAAAGGAAATAATAACCATCTAATCCCACATATGTAGGTCTTCTATGGTTTTCCAATTTGATATCCAAAATATGTCTATCTATTGCTTAAATAGATTTAAGCCATTTTTTGTATTATTAATTCTCATTTTGAGTCTTTGTATTGTGATATTAATCATGTAAGTACATATAGAAATTTTGAACCAATCATTTTTGTTAAGTGCATGGTGCAGTTGTAGTTTGCAAAGGAGAGCATTGTTGTACTTGTAAATCTATGTGGACCTTTTTATATCTTGTTTCTAAGAAGTGGTTTGAAGCAATTAATATCAATACTAGAGTGACTTTCCTTTGAGAAGTGCTGCCATGTGGATACTTGAGCTCCAATGCTTATCAAAACTTGAGGTATATTAGTAGAGAATCATAGGAGATTGGTCCTTCAAGTGTTGCAGGTTGTGCAATCTCATAAGAGTATTTCAATTTTTTTTTTTGACTCAAAAAAATTATAGGCTCTAGATCAAAGATGAAAATGTCTTACAAAGATGTGACCTATTTTTCTTCAAGATCTCTTGGTTTGGCAGTGGATTAGTTATGCTAGAGTTTTTAAGTGAGTAGATTTATGTTAGTTCCATCAATACATCTCAATTAGTAGATTGGTTAAAAAAATAGTTTTAAATCATTTAATTATATAAATATTAAGGTTAAAGAGTCTTTTTTAATATTTAATTATTTATTAGAATTTAGAAGTATTTATAAGTTATAAAAGTCTTATTAAAAAAAAAAGTCATAAAAATAGAATCTTAATAAGTCTGAAAGTAATCATCTTATTTAGTTTAGCATTTTTACTTATTGTTAAATATAAAAGATTATTCATTGAGATCAATGTTTTCACTGGCCTCCTATATGTATTATTTATAAAAATCCTATCAATAAATAGTTAGTAGTTAGAAGAAGTATGAAAAGAACTTCATATCTTTTTAGTTAATTATATAGAAAATAGGATTTTTAATAGATTTAAATTAATTTTATAACTATAAAAATTATTAAGATAGAAAAATATAGCTTTAAATAGATATTATAATTATAAAAATATTATATAATTTTTTAGAATTTTTTAGGAGTTTTTAATGAAGATTTCAAGACCTTGGTAAAATTGGGTTTTATCACCTTAGGAGCCATTATGAAGAAATGAAGCAAGATTTGAAGGCCATACAAGGTTTATGAACTAATTGGATATTTTTAAATACCATGGTAAAGTCAAAAATGTAAAATTTTAGTTTTACTAGTAGAAAATAGAAGGACAAGCAGCTAGTCTAGTCCTTATAGATAGGAAGGTATACAATTCACATGTGGATTGTAGCACCTTAGATATATATAAGAAGATAAAATTAGGGTCTTATAGTCTCTCTTAACAACCAATATATACTACTTTTGAGCCTTGGTGATACTCAAATTCTTGATCTCTTAAGCAAGTTATCCTTGAGATAAAAATTATTCACTTAATTTTTTTATTATTTACCTTCTATCTTTAATCTATCATAACTTATTCATATTAACTTAACTTTATATTTTTTTATATCATTGAAAAGACAAAAAATATATATTTAAAAATATTTTTACTTTTATTTTTTATTTTTATTAATTAAAATTTTAATAAACAAACTTTGACTAATTTTATAATATACAATTGTTTGATTGTAATTGTTTCACTTGTTTTGTATTGTTTTTATTTTTTTATTATTCTTGTTCTTGCTACTTCCACTTCTCACCACCATTTCAAGTAATTTTTAATTGAGGATATCTTATAATTTAGATTGAGGAGTGAATATTACCTTTATAATTTGTTTTATGGTCATTTTTTTTTTTTTTTTTTTTTTTCCTAATAAATATATAATTTTTGGCATGGTGTGAGGTGCTATGATATCAATTACATTGGTTTGGCAAACCACTATATTTGATGATGTATTCTTTTTTGCTACCTAAGAAATTTGGTAAGACCATTAAATAGAAGAGTTTTATGATGCCTTCTATCAATATACACATATAAGGGCTTGAGACTTTACTTCTATATGTTTTGGAGTGATCAATCACTCTTATTTCATTGATGCTACTAAATGCCTTTATGAGAAGTTATAGAGTGCGTATTAGACATCGTAATCTCTTAAGTTATGTTCAGATTGGATAGATGATATATTAGGAAGCTAATACAAATTTAAGGTCGAAATTAGCTCTTCACATAGAAAATAAGATATGTTGATTATTGAATTTGTATTATTTGATTAATATTTTTGTTTTACCTTGTTTGCTTATAAATTATACCTCAAAATAACTTCTACCTACTATTATTATTGAGAAGTATGAAATATGAAGTATATAAATAGTTCATTTGTAGAATAACTTTAGATTGGGATTCTTCTTCAAGTAATTGATAAGAGTGTCTCTCTCTTCATTTACAATTTGCTCCTGAAGTTGTTATAGTGTATTCATGCTAAGAGTGGCTTTGATTGTATTGTGTGCAGGTTAGGATTGTAAGGATACTATATCAATTGGCATAGGTGTAATTGTATTATCGATGGTAGTGGTGTCAATGCCATAAGCTTGTAGTAGAATCTCAATATTTGGCTTCAATTGTTTAGAGAGTCACTTGAGCTCTTTTTTCCTAGTGGATTGATATAATAATCAAAGTTGTGGATTTTCTTAAATAAAAGCTTCGACTGTATCCTATTTTGCTTGAATGAAGGCTTTAAGGTTTTTCAACATGTGGTATGTTAGGTCTAATGTTTTTTGAATGATTAATACATCTATGTTGATATTTGAGTTGAGCGTGATATGGAGAGTTGGATTGTTTTTTACATGGTCCAATAGTCCAATATCAAATGAGTTGGAGATGGAAGTTTGATGGTGAATATGAAGAGGAGGAGGAAGAAGGGAGGGAGGGAGAGAGAGAGAGAGGGAATAATGTGGTCCTAATAACCATGTAATTAGTGTTCTTTGTTGGTCCAGTCTCAAGTGTGTTCTTAGTACCTATGTGTAGTATTGAACTAGGTTCTTCTTCATTCGGATAAGAATTGAAAGTTTGTTGTTTAATAAAAAGGGGTGATACAATTTCAGTGTTTCCAAAGTTAATGGTCTCATTTGATCCTATTGTATTTGTATCCTTGGTGTCCATAAGTAATACTTCATCCTCATACTAAAGTAGCTTGATTAAGGCTCTCCTTTTGGTAGAAGGGCCAAACCTCAAAGCTTCCTTTGGAACATTGTAAAGCTGTCAATCATTTAAGTTTTTGGAATTAAGTCTAGAAATAGGGGGCTTATCTATGAGGTTGTATATTGAGTTGGTTCTTTATATAGGTCCTTCACTGACACTGCCCGACTCCCACGTCTTGTGATTGTCGACACCAAAATTGATGTCTTGTTGAGTAAACTATATGTTGGCTCTCTTGTTGTGCCACTACACCTGGCCTTGCGACATTCATTGTTTGATTTCCACTCCATTCTACTATTGCGCAATGGTTATTTACATTGGATTCTGTTGATTTTGGAACTAGAGATTCTTAAACTGCTTTAACTCGATCAGATACGTACTCGCTCGATATTTTGGTTGTATCATAGAATTTGGATCTGTGTTTTTGTTGCCAGATATGCTTGCAAGTGGTTGCGTTGCAATCTCCTAGAGTGTTGCAATGTTTCCATGATTGTAGAAATCTAGTGCGCTCTCAAAACGTCAAAAATCATTTATTTCGATAATTTTGGATCACTAGGGTGCGGCTCTGGATTTCATGGAGCCCCGCCCACTCACCACGCTCTTCCATTTGAGCTACACCCCCTTGGTGTTCCCACCAAAAAAAAGCTTACAAAATAATACTTTTTCTCCAAAATCCACACATACATCAGGATGATGGAAATTGAATTGGAGGAGAAGTGAACAGAAGAGAAGGCGGAGGAGGAATAGAGCCCGCACGCAAATGGCATCAAATGAATGCATCAATTGTTGCTCTCAATGCTGAAGAATAGAAGAAGCACCCACCAGCAGCAGGACTCCACTGCACTGCACCCTACTCCACTCCACCCCCTGCTGCATCTGCAAGGAATCTCATCTCCACATTCATAAATAAATGAGTGAGTGAGTGAGTGAGTGAGTGACGACGACGAGGGAAGATGACCCCCCCCCCCCCCTCCCCAAAGCTTGTACACAGCATCATCCTACGAGTAAGGGGGTGGGAGGAGCTCCATACTTGCACCGGAACTGCAACTGAACTGAACAACCATTGTGTGCCTGGAAACTCCCCCTTCCCTCGCAACTCCCCTGCCCTCCCTCCTGCTGCAGGTGCCTCTTTCGTTGCTTGCTTCGACGAATTTCGTCGCTGCAAGCTCGAAAATGCCCCGAAGTCGACCAGACGGAAGCCTCACCATACACGAGGAGGCTTTTAAGAGGACAAGATCCTCCTCTCCTGCCGTGCGACAGAATGAAATCTATTTTGCCTCCATGACAAGGAATTGCCGCCACTGGTGGAGGATGGACTGACATGCCATCATTATGGTCCCTTCCTTCCTCCCGTCTTTCCTTCCCTTCCCTTTCCTTCTACAGGGATTTCACGTTTAGGGCGACTTTACTCCTTTCATTCCTCTTATGGTATAAATAGCTGCCCCCCTGCATCCCGGTCTGTCTCTGTCTTCGTCTTCGTCTTTGTCTGTGACCCATCTTGCGCGTATCCCAGATTGTCCATTCAACGCTCTGGTTGCCGCTTTTGGTTGGATTGCAGTTTGCTTCCCGGGTTTTTGCCTTGTTTAGGTCTGTGTGAGTAGAGTTTGTGCTGTGAGTTCGTTGGTTGGAGTCCATTTGAAACATCGCTTGCTATGGCGGGGTCAAAAGAAGCCGGCCAAACGATTTACGACTTCGTTGTGAAGGACATCGACGGCAGCGATGTCGAGTTGAGCAAGTACAGGGGCAAGGTGCTGTTGATTGTTAACGTTGCGTCGAAGTGCGGGTTGACGACTACCAATTACAAAGAGCTCGCGGACGTGTACACTAAATACAAGAGTCAGGATTTTGAGATTTTGGCATTCCCTTGCAATCAGTTCGGAGGACAGGAGCCTGGGACGAATGAGCAGATCAAGGAATTTGCGTGCACGAGGTTTAAAGCCGAGTACCCTATTTTCGACAAGATCAATGTGAATGGTCCTCAGGAGGCACCACTCTACAAGTATTTGAAGTTGCAGAAAGGAGGCGGATGGTTGTTGGGGGATAGCATTAAGTGGAATTTCGCCAAGTTTCTCGTGGACAAGAATGGGAACGTCGTGGACCGCTTTGCACCCACTACTCCTCCTTCAAAGATAGAGAAGTCTATCGAAACTTATTTGAGCAGGTAGATTGTGAGTTTGGAGCTCGCCAGAGGTTCTGGTCATCTGGGCTGTGAGCGTAGAGAATTCTGTACAGCATATACCACTGTTTTGTTCATCTGGAGCGCGACGTTGTTGGTGCCTCTTTCCTGCTCAACACTGGTCTTTATTCATCTTGGGAAGACAATCGACGGGATGAATAAGTGCACCCATGTCTCATTTTCCTTGCGTTGTGTGATTACATTAGCATCAAGTTCATGGGTTCGTGAGGATCAAAGCATTGATGACCACCCATGGAGTTTAGGCGTTTCACCACTTCGTCGTATGGGATATACTCCAAAGCTGGACCATCCTTGTTCTTTCGAAGTGAAACTGCTTGCATGAAGTTCTGCAAGGTCCAGTTGGAACTGTAGAAACTCCACGTTTGAGCGTGTATTGTACCCGACTTGCATATAAAAGCTTCTTTTGTATATCTTACAGAGGCTCTTGCTCACCACCTGTATAGATACTGGAGAAATGCATTATCAGTGAGCGTTTTCATGCAAATTTTGCCAGACTGCTCACTTCTGGACGCATGTTGCTGTCTCCTTCCGCAATATGGTACTCTCTGTCGCCACATGATTTGAAGCTCGTCTTGTGAAGCTTGATTGTGTAATAGTAGCACCTCCTCTCTGTTGCAATCCAGCACCGCTTCCTCTGCCATGCCATGCTTCCATTGTATCATGCCACTGCTTAGCCATTTTGCAACGACAGCGTAGCTTCACTTGGTCTCTCTTTCAATATGTTGCTCTACCTCGTAACTGACAACAGGTTCTATTCTTTTCTCTTCTTTTTTGTTTTTGTTTCTGTTTTCTTTGTTGTGTTCCTTCCTTCCTGCTTTCCTTCTTATGGATAGGCTCCAGTGTGAAATGAGAGAACATTCTACAGTGCGGAACAGACAGTAAACTCAGACATAAACTCTGCCACCATTATGTGATGTTCATGCATGGGCTTGCAGTGATGTGAACTCCCCTCCCTAACAGTGGGCTAGTTTGCTGGGTCTCTTTTGTTGCTGCCCTCACCTCCCCACCTCCCCCATTTGTGTGTGTGTCTGTTTGCATTTACTGGAAAAGCATGTTTCTGACACTGGCCTTGCTTAAGCGTAGCTGTGCAGGTTCTTGTAGTCAACATTGTTTGCAAAAAATCATTGAAAAGATCATATGGTTTTCATTTGTGGCATATTTTTATTTGTAAGTATAACAAGTAATACTTTACGATGCAGTGTTGCAACTTTATCAAAGTTTTTATTTTATTTTTATTTTATTTTGTTTAAGCTATAGAAGAATATGTTGCTAAGTTTAGACTATGAAAAGGCCAAAATCTGCATGTGACTGCCCCATAACATCTTGCTTAGTTCTAAAGTATCACATCAATTTATTAAATATGCATATCAAATATACTTTTCTTTTTCTTTATAGTAAAGACATACAAACAGAAATTTCAACTTCAATATAATTAAACTTAATCCTTTTTGGGATTTTCAAAAGCCCAAAGAGTATTCTCATGAAATTGTCTTGCTACATGAAACTCTTGTGAATAGATAAATGCCTGACACTGTAATAAAGAAGATTTGTATTTTATTATTTGAATTATGGTCAACTTTTCAAACAAATATTTATGTGTTCTTTGCATCAACAAATGCATGTAAGAATTTTGAAGTTGATTAATTAAATATTAATATAGAATCTGTTTCAAATTATTTTTGTATTCAGATCAAAATTACTTTTCTTTTCTTTTCTCAAAATAACAGATTTTATATTTCGATTCATACATTTTAATACTCTAATATTGTCCAGAAATTTTATAACAGTAAGGGCAATACCAACAGAACAATAGAAATCTATAATTACTAAAAGATTTAGGTTTAACAAATAAAAATTTCTATCATTGCATAGGTCAATTTCTTTAAAATCATTTAAAAATACAATTTCTATTTGAGATATGTATATGTTTACACATTTGAGAGTACAAGAAATAATAATCATACGAGGATTTGAAAATAAATCTTACACAAGTGACTTCAAAATATATCTTGCAAAAGTGATAAAGAGACTTATATCTTCCTTTGTTTATTGAATTTTTTTAATTCTCTCTCTCTCTCTCTCTCTCTCTCTATATATATATATATATATATATATATATAATGAGTTGCTAAAGCCACACCCAAATTTTTGTTTTAATTCTCTCTCTCTCTCTCAATCTCTCTCTCTCAGCTCTCTATATTTATATATATATAATGAGTTGTTAAAGCCACACCCAAATTTTTGTTCTCTCTCTCTCTCTCTCTCTCTCTCTCTATATATATATATATATATATATATATAATGAGTTGTTAAAGCCACACCCCAATTTCTGATTTAATTCTCTCTCTCTGTCTCTATAGATATATATATATATAATGACTTGTTAAAGCCACACCCCAGATTTGGTTATAATTCTCTCTCTCTCTCTCTCTCTCTTTCTTTCTATATATATATATATATATAATGAGTTGTTAAAGCCACACCTCAATTTTGGTTTTAATTCACTCTCTCTCTCTCTCTCTCTCTCTCTATATATATATATATATATATATACATATATATAATAAGTTGTATATATATATATATATATATACATATATATAATGAGTACTTAAAGCCACACCTCAATTTTGGTTTAAATTCTCTCTCTCTCTCTTCCTCTCTCTCTTTCTTTTCTATATATATATATATATATATATATATATATATATAATGAGTTGTTAAAGCCACACACGAATTTTTGATTTAATTCTCTCTCTCTCTCTCTCTACAGAGAGGGTGTGTCTCTCTGTCTCTCTCTCTCTCTCTCTCTCTCTCTATATATATATATATATATAATGAGTTTTTAAAGCCACACGTCAATTTTTATTTTAATTCTCTCTCTCTCTCTCTCTCTCTCTCTCTCTCTCTCTCTATATATATATATATATATATATATATATAATGTGTTGTTAAAGCCAAACCTCAATTTTTGTTTCTCTCTCTCTCTCTCTCTCTCTCTCTCTCTATATATATATATATATATATATATATATACATATATATTGAGTTGTTAAAGCCACACCAAAATTTTTGTTTTAATTCTCTCTCTTCCTCTGTCTTTCTCTCTCTCTCTCTCTCTCTATATATATATATAATGAGTCGTTAAAGCCACATCCCAATTCTTGTTTTAATTCTCTCTCTCTCTCTCTTTCTCTCTCTTTTTCTTTCTCTCTCCCTCTCTCTCTCTCTCTCTCTCTCTATATATATATATATACATATAATGAGTTGTTAAAGCCACACCCCAAATTTTGTTTTAATTCTCATCTCTCTCTCTCTCTCTCTCTCTCTCTCTCTCTATATATATATATATAATCAGTTGTTCAAACAACATCTCAATTTGGGTTTAAATTCTCTCTCTCTCTTTCTCTGTTTTTTTTTTTTCTCTCTCTCTCTCTATATATATATATATATATATATATATATATAATAAGTTGTTAAAGTCACATCCGAATTATTGTTTTAATTCTCTCTCTCTCTCTATATATATAAATATATATATATATATATATAATGAGTTTTTAAAGCAACACCTCAATTTTTGTTATAATTCTCTCTCTCTCTCTCTCTCTCTCTCTCTCTCTCTCTTTCTTTCTCTCTCTCTCT